CCCCCACACCCCACTTCTCAACTCGCTCAGTAACAACATGGCCGAACCAATAGAGCCACCAAGAGAGCTTAGTAAGGATGACCTTACTAAGTTTGTTATTGAGCACATCGACAAGTACGAGCAGATGGAAGACGACGACGAGGTACTTTGGGCTACCTTCCAAGAAGACTTTGAAGACTGGGATGAAGAACACTTCACAACAGCAAACAAATCCCAGGTCATTAAGTTACGCAAGGTACTTCGTCTTAGAGGTGTATGGATTGAGATAGATAGCAAGAAGGCACTTATGCATGTAGCTCTTGTCAATACTCTCAAGGAGGTTGACCCAGTCGAGTGGACAGACGAGGAGATATTGACTATGATAAAGAATGGAGGTACGAACTCAACAAGGTTTACTCGACGACACGAGACGATGTACGATCCTTCCTTTCAGTACAGAGAACCTTCTCAAGCAACTCAACCTCAGAGTACACCCATTCCTCAGAGCACTCCCATTCCTCAAAGCACTCCTCCTGCCCAGCTGCCTACTCAAGTGCCTGCTCAAGTACCTGCCCAAGTGCCCACTCAAGTGCCCACTCAAGTGCCTACTCAACTGCCGACTCACAGCACTTCACAAGGCCTCACTCAAAGCACTTCTCAAATCACTCAAGCACCTCAAGTCACTCCACAAGGCATTCATGCGTACGGACCCCCACCAGGCACAGCACAGCCAAATCAACGCACGAACTTCCCCACCTCCTACCAGTTTCATCAACCTCACACGAATCCCTTCCAGCCCCAGCCCCAGCAAGTACAAGCTGCCCAGGCCACTAGTAGCACTATACCCCCCGCACCTCCTACACCACCTATACCACTAGTACCCCCCGCATCTCCCGTACAACCATGGCAGCCAACTCATACCCAATTGCAAGCAAAACCAGGGTATGGACGAGAATTGACGAACTTAGCGAAGACCTACACGGACGACATGAAGTACGGAGGCACTGGTGACAACTTTGGACTCAAGGTTACTATACTCTTTGATGTCTGCACTAGGTGTGACGTACCTGAGGCAGCGTACGCAAAAGCTCTGCCCATCATACTCAAGGGCTTAGCTTTGGACTTCTACTACGCTACTCTTGCTACTGCCAACCTACCTTTTCAAGACCTCTGCCGTGCCATTCAGGATCACTTTGAGGACGCAAGCTATAAGCGAGCTACACTCACTGAATGGAACAACCTCAGCCTAAGCCAAGTTAAATCCCAGAACCAGGAGAAGACGACCACTCAGTGCTTTCAACTCCTGGTTGCTAGACTTCAAGTACTTCGCCATGGGCTTACTCAGGACCTCCAAACCGACTCTTTCCTCTCAAACAAGCTCGTGCTCGCTTGTGAAAATAGCCCTGAATGCCAAATTGCATGCTCTGCCCCACCGCCACCTTCACAGCTGTCAGCCACTATTAGCGCTCTTAAAACCTCAATTACTGCCCACGAGCATACCCACAGCGCTACCTCAGGCTCTACTCTCGCAGAGAGCTACATGACAGATCGCAGGTTCCAATCCTCACGTAGTAATTCGCGTACAAGCCAGGGTCTCGGCTATCGCGGAAGCAGCTACCGTGGAGACAACAACAAGAAGCAATGCTTTGTTTGCAAGAAACAAGGCTGCTGGTCAACAAACCACCCTGAGCGCGAGCGTGACCAAGCCAGGGACCGCTTTAAGTCAAGATACCAAAGCAAGCTCAGAGGACAATTTAATGAGCCTACATTCGAACGGTCATTCAGACAGTACGTCCTTGAGTACGAAGGAGGACAATTTAATCCCCACGACGAAGCATTCCAAGCTGTCACACTCGAAGACAATGAAGAACATGAGCCCTTGAACACCCCTGAACTCGAAGAGAGCGAGAGCGAGAACTTTGTGACTTCGCTTGGCCAAATTAGCACTTCGAGCGCCACGAGCATCACTTCCAAGCTCGCTGAGGCAGCCTGTTTCCACGCTTTCACAAGCTCACTTCCTGCCCCCACTGCCGAAGGCAAGGACACCGAGGCTTTAATAGCCACAGGAGTTCAACGCTATAACGCAAGCTACTTCTTTGGGATTATGATTGATACAGGCGCAGCCTCAAAGTCAACCGTAGGATACGACCAGTACCTAGCCTATAATTCAATTTGGAACGCGCCTATTGCCACAGCTTCAAAGGGCGAAGTGACCGTCAAGTTCGGCATTGGCACTGCGGCATCCTTAGGCTCTATACGCGTTAATTCGCCTATTGGCCTAATTGAATTCCATGTACTCCGGACAGACACCCCTTTCCTGCTTTGCTTAGCGGACATGGATAAGTTAGGAGTTCACTTTAATAACCTCAAAAACACACTCATTACTCCACAAGACGAATTATCAGTAGTACGTCGCTTTGGGCACCCCTTCCTGCTTTGGGGAGAGTCTTTGTGCTCTTTTCTACAGGAGTCCCCAAGTCAGCTTACGGAGACTGAAATTCGCCGCCTTCATAGGCGCTTTGGACACCCATCTGTTAGCCGCCTCCAGCTCCTCTTAGAGCGTGCCGGCCACGGCGATGCTGACCCAGGCATACTCAAGCACCTGAACGAGTACTGCCACTACTGCCAAAAGCATGGGAAATCCCCTGGCCGCTTCCGCTTTACCCTTCACGATGACACTGAATTCAACTACAATATCTACGTTGATATCATGTATATTAACGGCCAGCCTCTACTACATATAGTAGATGAGTGTACTCGTTTTCAAGCAGGCAGGTGGCTACGCCAAATCTCAGCCAAGCACACATGGGAAAAGCTACAAGAGTGCTGGATTAACACCTACCTTGGACCCCCAGATCTAATTACTCACGATGCCGGCAAGAACTTTGTGAGCAAGGAGTTCAGGCAATATGCAGGTTCCATGGGAATTCGTACTAAGGTTGTACCTGTGGAAGCTCACAACTCTATTGGGATAGTGGAACGCTACCATGGCCCACTTAGGAGAGCATACGCAATTATAACTGAAGAGCTGCCTGACCTCGCTAAAGACACAGCCCTTCAAATGGCATTCAAGGCAATCAACGACACTGTAGGGCCTGAAGGCCTTGTACCTACTCTACTTGTGTTTGGCGCCTACCCACGCATAGCCGATTTTGACGCTCCCTCACCCTCTATTAGCCAGCGCTCAAGCACACTCAAGAAGGCTATGGAGGAGCTACGTAAACTCCAGGCAAAGCGACAAATCAACGATGCTCTTAATCAGCGCAATGGCCCAACAAATAGCCTACTCAAGGACCTTCCCCTCAATTCAGATGTCCTTGTGTGGCGTGAACCTGGGAAGTGGACTGGCCCTTTCACGCTCATAGGAATGGAAAATGAGGAATGTATTGTCAAGCTCTCAAGCGGACCTACGAGGTTCCGCTCTACAGTGGTAAAGCCCTACCTTACGGACCCAGACTTTCAGACACCACCGGCCACCCAGGAACCTGAAGAACAAGAGACACTTTCTCCAGCCACGTCCACGTTACCTGAAGTCATTCAGCCAAGGCGCGGCCCAGGTAGACCTCGAAAGGCTCAAAGTCAAGAACAGCCACAGGAACCTAATAGCCAGCCCCAGGAACCCAATAGCCAGCCACCGAAGCGTGGCCCAGGGAGACCGCGAAAGCAACCAAGCGCCCTGAATATTAACGTCTACTTCGCCAAAGGCACCACTTCTACTGCCTCTGCTTTTAGCCAATTTAAGCACTCTCAGCAACAGGAAGTCAATGGTCTAATTGAGCGCGAAGTCTTCGAACACATCCAGCCTTGCGACCTACCCGAAGGCGCAAGAATATTTGATTCAAGATTTGTAGACAGCATCAAGAACGAGGGCACAGACAAAGCGTACGAAAAGTCAAGGCTTGTCATCCAAGCGTACAACGACAAAGAGAAATCCCAGGTCTTAACTCAATCACCCACAATTCAAAGAGTCAGCCAGCGAATTATACTTGCCATAGCTGCCATATACCCTGAGTTAAATGTCTATCTAAGAGATATTACCCAGGCGTACACCCAGTCAACCACAAAGCTCAACCGGGAGTTCTACGTACGCCCGCCACAAGGAGTCCCTCAGTGGAGTGGTATCTACCTCAAAGTCATAAAACCACTCTACGGCGTACCTCAAGCTGGGAACCACTGGTTTAGTACCTACCACAAACATCACCTTGAGAAGCTACGCATGTCCCAGTCCACGTACGATCCCTGCCTACTCTCTGTCAGCGAGCTAAAGCAAGAGCAATTTGGAGTCGTTGGTCTTCAGACTGACGATACTCTCATACTAGCAAACCCAGGGTTTGCTACGGCTGAAGAGAAGGAATTGAAGAAGGCTGAGTTCACCTCAAAACCCATGGAGCAGCTTACAAGCGAACACCCACTCAAATTCAATGGTGGCAAAGTTACGCTCCAGCCATGTGGCTCAATACTCTTAACCCAGGAAGGCTACACCAAACACTTGAAGCCAGTGAGCACCTCACCAGCGAACCTCGTGAGCTCCCGGGGCAACGTTCGCCAGAGTGCCTCAACCAAGGACCAATATGTAGCCCAGCGAGCACGTGGAGCTTACCTAGCAACAGTCTCACAACCAGAAGCTGCTTTTGATCTCTCCTTCGCTGCCCAGAAGCTCAACCCTCAAAGCCAGGACATCACACTCCTTAACAAGCGAATTCAATGGCAAATTGACAACTCTACCAGAGGCCTCCGATTCATTAAGCTAGACAAGAACACACTCAAACTAGTCATATTCACTGACTCCTCCTTTGCCAATAACGAGGACCTTACTTCTCAAATT